TTTAAATATGTATTTTATGTATATATATTATACACTTAAACCTGAATAAAAGAAAATATGCCGATTTATTATTATTAACGAGTTTATATCAGTATATACCTGACATTGTCTTGTTGATGACTTTTAAAAACTAAGAAGCATGTATGTTATAGTAGTCGATACCTACCTAGAAGGAAAACATGATTTTATACTGCGTAATAAACTATTTTATAATATAATTAATTTTGTACAATCCAAAAGAATAATAAAGCCGTTCTCTTTAAATATCAACAGTACATATTTTTTATACATGTTTGTAGATATGATGGCTACAGTCAACCACTTGGAATGTACCCTTATAATTTATAAAATGGTTCTCGTGTCCGTTCGAAATATATTATTATTCTGTGGGTTCGACAATTAATAGTTATACAGGTGCATGTAATAATATATGACTCTTTGAAATCGTCGACATTCCAATAACACATTGGGGGAGCGAACCTTTTTTTTCGTCTTATAATACGTAGGAACAATACCGAATTCCTTATAGACTATTCACCCCAATGAGTGTAAACGTGTTTGCATCGGATTTCTTGGAATTGCAGACCCTTCGTACATAATATAGGACTTGTTTACATCAATGAAAGTAAAACCGGATCTCGTATGTGGTGGACGAGTCTACGTCTTGCAGACGACCTTATCGTCTCATTAATGTGTCTTCAAGGTTTTATTGTCCACGACGTCTGTGGTTCCCTAATCCCATTGAACAGTTTGGAGTCGGTTTAAAAGTTCAAAGAACTCTAAGGCGACTCCTCTGCTGGGTTTWAAAAAAAAAAATTACGATTTTTATTTTTAATTCAAAATAACAAATTACTAAACATAATTATACCATGCGAATTACGAAATATTTCTGCTATTGTACATTGTATAACAATATTATATCGATTAAATGATATAATAAWGATATAATAAATYGTCRATGGAATAAACAATGTACCTATGGTAAATAATCCATTTCCAGATTTTTATTATTTGTACTGATACTGGAAATGACTATACATACACTTAATTATTTTTCTACCGAGGTAATAAATTTCAGAATGAACAAACATTGGCAGAATATCAAGTCTTCGTAATTTCAATAGGAACAGAAAATTAGCACTACAAAYATTAAATTATTATCACGAATAGGCTTATTCTTAAATTTCGAGGTGAACTTCATGTCACAAAATGAATAATATGACTTGATGTTTATATATTTTGTCTATCGAGCAACTTATGAGTAAACAATTTAGGAGACTTATTTTTAGACCATTTTTTTATAGCAATATTGTAAGCAATTTTGTACGTATGTATAATATGTAACTATACGTAATAATTTTTTTATTCAATTCGACAAAAACCATTGTATTATACAAATCGCGATCATTCGATCATGTGCGCTTAACGCCGCCACAATCACAATGTACATTAAGTATTCATTCAAATGATATTGTACCTACAGAATGAGTATTATCTAATGTAGAATTTATGAATCTGATTTAGTAAAATAAACGCGTAAGACAATATTATTTATTGAATATATTTACTATTTTTTTTCCTACAACGACGAATATTTAAAAGTGAAATCTGCAGCATGCTTTGTACAAATACTTTGTACGTTATTTTCATTATGGTATTTTTATGTGGTTTGTACCGACAAATGATTTTGAAACAAATACCTACACAATAATTACCGATGTCGATATGAAATTACAATAATCCGTCGGCTACTCATGGATTTTCTGCTTTTTTTCACGCGTTCAAAATGTATTTTTTCTCTCGTAAAACCATTGTATTTTGACAATACACTATTATATTATATTATGGACGGCGGTACCAGACACAATACCGTCATAAATTCTGATAATTCAGATTAACATCAACACATCATCATATTTTCTACAGTCCGTATAATCGTCGTCAGCAAGAAGGTTTATGTTGTAGTTTAGTGCGTAATACGCATGTATACGCGTTATAATATTATATCGACTGCAATTAAAAAACACCGTTTATCCACTGGTAAGTTTTTAATGAATATGTCTTTTTTGTTCTATAGGTTTAACATTTAAATTGGGATTTTTCGAGTTTACTATAATTTACTCTTTCTAGTTAGCACATATTATACCGTCCTATCCATTTTAAAATATCAGCTGAGAAAAAAGATTAAAAACAACGAATTACCTGCATAATACGGAAAGTGTAGGTATTTTTAGGAAAATTGAATTTACAATTAAATGCATTTTTTTTGTCTATATCATCACGTTTTGAAGCAGACAAAAATAATTTAATCTTAAACTTGAAGGGATGTTTKAGTAGTCTATAGTTGAATCTAGTTAGTGCTTTTCGTCTTGCAAGGTAAATGGTGTTTAGTGTTTAGTGGTTTAGTTTCCGGAAACGTCGTATGTATTCCAACATTTCTTTACACTTATGACGCCTATATGGTTCGGTCGTTCGGTGATTTTTATACGAATTTAAACACGATTTGTTTATTCTCGCGTTGACGGATAAATGAATGATTTATAGTTTTAATATTGATGAAAAAATTTTGTTCTGAAATCTGCTGTAATAATAATAATAATAATAATAATAATAATAATAATGCACATACATGATTTTTGCTGGAAAAATCATCCCTGCCGTCGTTTTTGGTACATTTAATGGTGTGTTTTTCTTTAACGTAATTTTCTCCTTATCTAAGCTGAGAAATTTAATTAAAATTACAGTGATCTATTCGAAAAAATTTATACAAAATATTCCTGTGGCCCTGTGTCTCATATTTTTGTCCATTAATCACGCATTTAATCATATTCTGACATTTTAAGTTTTTAATAATAATATTTATTAAGACGTTGAKTATAGTTTTAAATCCAGCAAAAATAATTAAGTCGGAATAATGTTTAACTTATTAGTTATTACTATTATTAATAAGATTAATACTGCTATTTATTTAAAAATATATTATTATATGTATTTCATAAGGCAAACTGTTAGAAATATGGATTACGTTTTTGGCTTGGTCTGCACATTGCAATAATTACAAAATTATTTTCATTTAGCATTAAATTATTACTACGTATTTCAGTATTGCCTTATAAATTACATGATTTTGGTTTGAGCGTGAAATCAAAAATTAGATTCGACTGCAGTTGTATAGACATGATGTCCAACCAGTTCAACTCTCTCACCGCATATTAAAAATACTTATTTCAAAATATATCTGCGACCCAAGTGCCACAAATACATAAATATAGATTAAATTACCTATTTATATACAATTAAATTTATTTATACAGTTAAATTATTATTTATTAAACTAAATACCTTAAATATGTGTACCTTATTAATTTTTATTTATTTGCAATACAATATTTTAGTCATATATATTATATTAGGTATACTATAGGTATAACATGTGCTATAAATATTTTATGCTAACAACTTTTTTTGTTATTTTCTTAAGTCAGGTTTTGGAATAGTATATACGGAATGCTGACATTTGAATATTCCGGACTCCGGTGTTTAGTGTTAGCATTTATTTTCTTTATCCATACCTACCTATGATATTATGTCGTTTCGCAATCGCTCAGATATACCGTTCGAAAACTGTTTTTTTTTCTCCCGTACCGCACCGGCCGGACATATTCTACGCAATTTGTATACATTTTTTTTCGTTCACCCACATTTAGGACGCAATCGGATAATAATATAATAAAATATGCTCCACTTAGCAACCAGTTTTGAACGTGATCAAAACACGGGGAAGGTAAAAAACTATATAAATAAAAGGTCGAAATGTGTCGTGAACGGAATACGCTCGCGTTGTGTGCATTAAAATAAAATAAAAAGAAATAACCTGGTGTGACATACCGTCACACCAGGAGTGAGTTGGAGTTGCATGGGTGGGTAGCAGTATTTATATCTACTGTCCGGCAAGCATTACACTTGAGTTCGTATATATTATTAAATTATTCAATATTGCATTTAAAATCCATTATGATAAACATAAAATCATCGCATTCCCTGATAGACAGTGTATCGGTGAGATATCTCTTAACGGCCTGTAGTGATCGTGTTTTGACCGTTTTGGGTAACATCATCTATTCACAAATGTGCAGGTTATGACCGCGCTCATTTAAAGTAATTTTTTCGAAAACATATGATAGTTTATTTGCATAATATAACCACCTAAGGAAACCACTGAGAATAATAAAAAAAAAAAAAAAATTTGTAAAATTGAAATTAATACAATATAGTGACCACGTGTTTGCGAAACTGTCGGAGCCCAATCTAAAATGTGTAGATTTGGCTGTATAATATTATAGGTAGTTTGATAAATGTATGATTGTGTTTCTCAATATATACGTAATTGATTTGTCTTGCGAGATAAATGTAAAAAAAAACTTTTTTAGCATTTTATTCGTAGTATATTAATATACACACACTAATACGCACTTACAAACAAACGACTGCAGTCGTTAGCATATATTATGCAAAACAAAATATAGAGCGGTGCTTGATATTTTCCGTGTAAAGAATGAATTATAAATACATTTTTGAATGGAAGTTTGCCACCTACCATGGTTACAATATAAAAATGCCTTAAGCTTTTCGAAAATCGGTCGGAAAAAAATTTGATGCCAGCTCAAAAACATAACTACCAATTTTAAATTCTATAAAACTATAAGTCGTATCATTGGAAGTTGTCCTGTGATCTTTCCACACATCGTCCGCTTTTTGATGTATTAAACATCAAATGTATACCTATAACTTTTTTAATTTTACAGATTGTAAATATTCCACTTATTTATTTTAATAAATAAATACCATAATTAATGTTATAGTTTAATTACATCGCATATCACACCTAATAAACTGAAAATGTTTTACCAATCGTAAATAATAATTTTATAGGTACTATTTTATACTCGTACTTATAATATTGTCTTATAATAATCTATCTATATAACATTATTTTAAAGGAACTTAAATTATGTTTTGGATCATCGGTGTAATATTATTTGGTGTACTGTATGCTGGTTATCTATGGCGTTCCAACAGAAACTTGCCTCCAGGCCCTTGGGGTGTTCCAATTCTCGGCTATCTACCGTGGTTAAATCCTACCGAACCTTACAAAACATTAACGGCACTGACTTGTAAGTATGGGCCGATTTACAGCATTCAGATGGGGAAACATTTTGCAGTCGTTATGTCGGACCCAACACTGGTTAGAATGGCATTAGCACGAAACGAACTGGCAGATCGCACTAACTTCGAAGTTGTTAACGAAATAATGCAAGAACATGGTAGGTACTAACTACAAGGTATCTAAACTTCCTATACCACTTTCAATACGATTCAAGTATCAATATAGTTATTATATGGCTCTTATACCAATATTTTAAATTTTAATAATCTACCTATATAGGTTTAATATTTACACACGGGCCACTTTGGAAAGAACAGCGAAAATTTGTTTGCAATTGGCTTAAGGTGATCGGCGTGACCAAGTTCGGTGACAAGAAAAATAATTTACAACTACTAATTGCAGACGCTGTATCTACTACGATCTCGGTAATATTCGAGACAATTTTAGATAATTTAGAATCTATTGTAGATTTTTTTTTTAGAAATTACGACAGACAAATAATAGTCCGATTGACACGGGAAAGTTTTTTCTAGTAAACATAGGAGATTTCATAAATCTTATAGTGTTGGGTAAAGCGTGGCCAGAAGATGACCCTAATTGGATTTATTTACGAAATTTGGCTGAAGACGGATCTAAAAAATTTGCCATAGCTACTCCATTGAGTGTTTTGCCAATATTGAAGTTAGAAATTAATATATTAATTGTCGTGACATCCGTAAATAACGTATTCAAAAATATATTTTATTGTTGTATATGTAATTGTCCTAGKGTCATACCAAAGTATAGAAAAACTGTTATTGAAATAATCGAGGGAGTCAAAAATACGCATTTTATATATAAAAAATTGATGGAGAAACGAGGCAACGAAATTAATGAATGTGACGATTTGATGGCCATGTTCATGAAAGAAATGACAAAGAGAACAAATGAGAAAAGTTCTCATTATTTCACCGAAAAACAATGTTGTTTTCTTTTGTCTGATCTTTTTGGTGCTGGTGTTGAAACAACCGTGAATACCCTAAGATGGTTTCTTCTGTATATGGCTTTAAACCAAGAAATACAGGTAAAAAAAAATATATTTTTTAAAATCATTGCTGAAATATATTATTATTATACACGCGTATTTTAGGAATATTTTATTTTGTAAATAAATTAAAATGTAAATCAAAGTGAATAATGATAATTATTATCCGTAGTACCTATCGAATTTCAATTTGATTACATTTTTTACATGATTATCATATGATCGTTTTGAATATTATATATTATGAACATTTAATGTAAGTATTCAGATAGACAGACTTTGTAAGTACAATAAAAAATAAAAACAAATATGTAGATTATAGGTAACAAAATGTCTTGAAACTAATAAAATAGTTACAAAGGTATAACTATTCTGATCTAAAAAAAAATTAAAAGAATTAACTAAAATTAGTGATAACGATTTATTAATATAATTTTAATAAAACAAAACATTTTTAGAACAACTTACAGACATTGCTGGATTCTGCGTGTACTGATGGTGGAATAATAGATTTAGAACACATAGAAAGTATTCCATTTCTAAAAGCTTGCGTGTTTGAAACGATGCGATTACGGCCGGTTGCTCCATCTGGAATACCTAGGTCAGTCAACAGCGAAATTACGATTTTGGGATACCGCATACCAAAGGGGACCATGGTTTTACCGCTGCAGTGGGCAATGCACCACGATGAAAAGTATTGGACGGACCCGCAGGCATTCCAACCGAAAAGATTTTTAGACGACGAAGGAAACGTGATAAGCAACAAAGCTTTCATGCCATTTCAAGCCGGTTAGTGATTGGAAGTGTCAATTTTTTTAAAAATAATTGAACTAAATAGTCAATGATATTTTCAGGTAAAAGAGCTTGTGTTGGAGATACGCTTTCCTACTGGATTCTCTATTTATTCGGTGCAAATATAATTCACAATTTCAATATTTCTACAGAACACGGTTTATCTGAAAAAGAAATAAACACCATCATGAATGGGGAGTTTGGCATAACGCTCAGTCCGGCTACGCATAACATTGTTTTTAAATCTCGAATTTAAGATTAATCGATTCTCAATTTGTTTTCGAATAATTAAAACTATCTTAAAATAAATATAAACGAACGTAAAATAATTTTTGTAAATATTAGATATTTAAAATATTACCTAATACCTATGATTGGGATGTACACCAAATTTATAGTTTTCCAAACCACCGACTACTGTACACGATATTTCGCAGCTTGTGTGTGTGCTCTTATACATGTATATAATACTATAATGCACTTATGGCGGGAAAATTATTCCATTAATGTAGGAAGTATAATGTCTAAGGAGATTGTAATACTACCTATAATTAATAAGTAAGTAATAAACTAATAACTAATAACGCAAATATGACCGGTCTGGTCAGTTATATAGGTTATATTGACAGTGTTTACTACACCTCATGATGTCTACCGGCGATTGTTTTTTATCATCACCATAATAATTCATAAAAATAATATTGTATTATTTTTTTAAATTACTTTTAATCATTGGTTCTTCTGTCGCGCGCTTTAAAGTGGCATCTAAAATCGTGAACATAATAATATTGTCTACAGGCGATGTAACTAATACCAATGTTATGTTATTATGATTTAAGGGATGTAAAAGAATATAATATATAGTGGCGATTTTAGATAGTATTGTTTATGTATTTTGTATGTTTATTTTCGAAATGTGCTGTAAATAAGATATATTCTTTATCATCCCGAAAACGACGATATAAAATAATCAATGGCCAAATTTAAATAACAGGTTTTTTTCGCCCAATAACCCATATGAGCATTAAAAAACAGAAATTTTTCGTTCATATTATATTCGGTAGGTAGGCCACTAAGGTTGTATTATGTGACGTGTGTTGTATATATATATATAATTACGATTTACGAGTACTATCATTGAAACGTAATAATAACATTTTGTTAATGTATTTCTTTCGAATGCTATAAACGATGTAGGAAGTCACTGTGCTATATCGGTTTAGCTAGGTGATAGGTACAGTGAATTGCGATGCGTGCCATTGCGTACCCTTTGTATTGTGTTAACTCGTTTCATTTTGGTGTGCTGTCGGAATAATAATGTAAAAATATTGAATTTGTTTTTGTTTTTTGTATTAAACCAATTATGATCATATACGAATTCAACTGTGTGCACCTTATATATTCATTTAGATAGCCTACTGTTGGCTAGGAATGTCTTAAAATAAAACTTTATATAAAAAAAAAAAAAACACCTTATATATAATATATTTATATTCTTATCGAAAACCGAAGGAGGAACTGCTGTTTACATTAGGTACTTCTCCTCTGGCCACTATTGTTTATTGTAGGAAACAAAACAAAAATATGTTACAACAATATGCGTGAAATAGTATGGCCTACAGCGTGGACTCTACACTCAAAGCTACAAGGTACATCAACGCTGTAGGTGCACCTAATGAGATAAACGTTAAATACGATATTATTATATTATATTACATTATGATTATTAATTAATTTATTAGATATAAACACTTTATACGGTGAATAATATTAAAAACAGTTTATAAATAATCTAAATTATATAAAAAATGTTCATTCAAATACAAATGCATTATTTACATTAGGTAGGTAAACCAGGCATGTGACTAGACATTTTTCTATAAGAGGGCCAATATTTTTTGGYCCCTTTCTGTTTTTTGTACCCAATACCACTCCTCTCCTTATCAGACAATATCTATAAAAAATAATACTACATTTCACAATGTATTGTCTGTATTAGTTAGGTATTAGCATTATATTTTTGTTATTTATTAATATAGGTATACAATATACATCTTAAAAAGCCATATTAGGACAAGTCGTCTATTTCTATGGTTTGCTGCTTAGTGCTAAGTCTCTAACTCGATAGATAATAATATTATATTGGGACATACAGAGGTGGAGTGGGAAAAAAATTCAGGCCAAGAAAATTAAGTTCCTCTAGGCCACCCAAAATGTTCATCTCCTGGTTAAAAATTGTATTTTATCTAATTTTGTAATATACGTATATAGGCAGGCAAACAACAAATAGGTACTTACTAAAATTATATATTATTATAGTGTATGTACTTTAAAGATAAAACAATTAACAAAACTATAAAACCGAAATAAAATTAGGTACACAAACCAAAATAATAATAAATCATAATATGTTCTAATGAAATTAAAATAAATATAGCAACTTACAAAGAATAAACTATTTTAGCTTTAGATATAATTATAATAATGGCTTTATCATAATTTAAAATATCAAAATAATAAAGAAATAATCAATTAAATTCGATTTCGTCTTCGTATATATAGATAGATACTCTTTCATTACTCTACATTATTTTTTTTCTATCTATACTTTAGGTGTAAACGGGCCATTTAGCTTCCAGGTCACCGGGAATTTTCAGTATCCTGGTGGGCCACTCCGCCCCTGGGGACTTATCATTTTGTTAGGCATATTTATTTTATTATACGATTACCGTATTGGTCCACTATTATATATAGTATTGTCTGTAGTTGTGTTTATCAAATGTGCGTTCGATACCCGTATTTGGCATTCCTAGATTTCAATTTATTAATAGACGTCTTATTGTCAATCTTGTATTATTGRCGAATATTTTTAAAATTTCGGAATTTAATTTTTGTTATACGATTGTTACCTTACTATATTATGGAGTACCATATAATAATATAATATACAATTAGGATTTAACCGGCTAGGGACAATTATATTACACACCATAATATGAAAAATAAAAATCAAGGGGGCCAGTCCGGGGCCATTGACATTTCTCAGSGGGCCAGGCCCCCTAAGGCCCCCCCTTGGTGACGTGCCTGAGGTAAATAGTGATAAAAATACGGAGAGTTATATAATCAATAAGTAATTCTATGATGAGAACTGAGAAATAACTTCAAATTAACAAAAACTTGAAAAATGGTTCCATAATAATGTAAATGTGATTTGGTGTGTCCCGGTGACTACACTTAGTAGCATACGCGCTCTGAATGTACGCGCCGGCCGACGTTGCTAGCTCCCGGATGGGTGGCCATCCAAGATTTTTAGCAACAAAATCCTTGCCACATATAGGTACAATACGTGTTCCAAACAAATCATTCCCCCTTACAAACAGCTAATGGCCATAGTTTTTAGGCTTAGGATCAATAAAAAAAAATCATGTAAATACTTTCTATTGTTTGTATATTGTGTATTGATTTACCTTGAATAAAAAAAGCTTTTGAATTGTAACGATTTTTTCTAAGGATTTATATAGGTACCTATTAATTATTCTAGGTAACTTTTAGAAATCTAAGATATGCATTTGGATAATTTTTCAAGCGTATTTTTTCTAGCACTATTTAAAGTGAAATGGACATATTCAGGCTTTTATCCGACTTGAAAAAGTTCTCATCTTCCAGATATGATGTAATACACCGTATTAATTCCCTGAATTATGTGGAATTTATATTTAACGAATTTTTCAATATTATGAATTTTGTTCCCCATGCGACTTCGTTTTATAGAAGTTTCACTGTATTATGTTACCTATAATTATTATGTGTTGTTAAATTTCCATATTTTAAATGTTTAGTAGTAGATAATGATAAATTAATTTAGTTTAAAAACTGGTATAACACCTTCGTCTCCTACACAAATTTTGCTCTAGAAGACTAATTTCCAAGATTGTATTTAGGTCATATATATTATTTTGAAACGGGAAATAATTTAATTGTATTTTCRCACAAGTTAGGTTAGCCTGAAGTTTACGCGTTAATGCAGTGCGTTGAAGTTATGCAACATAAATTTATAAACAAATACCAACAAAAAACTTGAGATTATCATATACGACCAGATGTTGATTTAAAGGTGACGCGATTTGTTTCTAATAAGCGATTTTTCTTATTCTAATAAATTACACTCACAACGAGTTACCCATTTATGTATCGATCAACCACACGCTTTGTCGATTGGAAATATTTTATTTTATGAAAAGCTTTAGAAAAGTCGTAGAAAATTTTGCTGCTTATTTCCTTGAGCATGATGAGGACAATTTTTTGATAGAATATTGCGAACAAAACACTGAAATATTAAATTTCGATAACGGTTTCGATTTCGGTTGTCATGTCTCGTTTGTATTATTATAGAATTTGTATAGTATAATTTTACTAAGGCCTAGACATTTAATACAAGGTTAACTATTTATATATTATATATGTATATTTTATTATTATTATTTCAACTTAAGAAGCAAAATTCTAACTGTTCGTTAATTTTAATATTGCTGGTGAATGACGGCTAAAATTATAGTTATAGTAGGTAACGATGTTTCTGACATTATTCTCCGGACTTAATTGAATAATGTTTAATGATTTTTATTATTGAAGATTAACATTTATTATACGAACCCGTTTTCTTTAACCCGTATACCTATTTACTACTGTGCAAACAATAATTATAGTCCAATTAAAAATCTTTAATCATTTGTATATTGTTCATGTACTTAAGTGACTTAAAATTTTAAAAACCATTTATGTGAACCAAAATTATTAGCTCACGATCGCTTTTCAAACGCGACGGGTTCATCATTGCTTTCAAGTTTGTTTAGTAATAGTAATAATAATTTACACCTGTCTTAAATACCTGATCCATGCAGCAACCTTTCTGTTTTTTTTTTTATAACGTAAATATCCACTACCTGTTTTGTTTTTGACTGTATATGCATTATATATTTTTTACACACCCGTCAGCACTTTGTCGATAAACATAAGCAAATACATTTCATTTCACCATATCGACTTAGACACTCTTACATACAACTCGAATGACTGTAAGTATAATATTATTAACTCGATCGTATAGATTTTCACAGGGCCTAACATTTAACTACTTTATTTTTTCTCACAACGCATCATACAAAATCTAAATGTGAATGACTTAGAACCATTTGGTATTATGTTTAAAAAAACATTCCAAGTCTCGAATAGCTTTGATTTGAAACGTCTAAATGGTCCTAACCCTAAGTCAATTACATTGGCATTCGTGTCGTATTAGTTGCGTGAATAGTTCTCCTGAAGTAAATTAATATAACAAGTGGTTGATAAAAACATTCAACATTTAATTTTAATAGGTTGCTTGTACATTGGTAATATTAAAAAAAAAAAAAAACAACAAAAATCATGCAATAATAAGAAATAAAATAGATATATTTACATATGGTATGCACCATAAAATGTGCGTATAGTTCAGAACTGAAAACAATAACGGTTATTATGTATATAATACCAATAGTTACCTATCATATAACACTAAGCTCGTGTATTGGATATTGGTGTATTATACTACGTTCTCATTACATAAATATAATTGCAGATTAAAAAAAGTGAGTAAGTAAGTGGATGTCGCTCTGCAGTATAGTAGAGCGTACAAGAACATTACCTTCCAGAAAAAATGCTATACACTTGATACTTTTAAACAAGTTTAGAGGGAGAAAAAGTGTTTACAGAATAAAAGAGAAAAAAAAAATAAACATCATAGTAAAACCAATACATTCCTCGCTCCGCTCAGAATCTAAAACTACATAAAATAATTTACATAAAAAAAAAAAATGGTAAATATGGCACTAAGTACATAGTACATAAACATATCAATATAGGAAAGCATGCACTTGTAACTACTTAAAATAAACAAATACAATCGTTATTTTCTAAAACAGTATAAATTAAACTAAACTAGCTAATCAATAAATAGTATGGTCTTAAATGACATTTTAGATAATATATATAATTTATAGGGAACCATGTGTAATTGGTAAATAAATAATGAAACATTTCCAAACAATAATTATGGAATATTATTCTAATAAATACATAATATTCCATTAAAAATACATGAACAACCTAAATGAGAGGATCTGAGAATAATAATGAAATGAAATCTACTTTTTGCGCGCTTTCATGACGACCTTGAACGATTGTGGAGTCAGTGTGATACCGACTTGACCGTCCATGCTAGGTAATTCGTCACCATCCGGTAAACACACGTCGAACTCGTGTAACAAGGTCGAAAAGAACAAGTATAGTTCCATCTGAGCTAATGTCTCACCCAGGCATTTTCTCCGACCTTTAATGAAACAAATTAAAAATGGAAAAAAACAATTAATTACAATTTCATAAATAGTATCACATTCGAATCATTTAACACACAATTAATATATATATTTTGCGCATATAGTACGATATATTAAATTATATATGTTTAATAAAAAATATAATATTATCTTACCGACTCCAAAAGGTAAAAAACAATCGGGTTTTTTCACTTTGCCTTCGGCATTTATAAATCTCTCCGGCTTGAACGCCTCCGGTTCGTCCCATAAGTTCGGGTCGTTGTGCACAAAATGTTGTAAAGGTATGATCTGAGCGCCGGTCGGTATATGGTAACCATTGAGTGTTACATCACTGTTGAAACAATACAAAATTTGATGAAATGCTCGGACGGTATGTAATATTTAACAGCCAGCTGACACGTTACATATATTTATATGCGAAACGATGAGAGTAAACAATTTACCTGGTGGTTGCGTGTGTTGTGCCCAAAGGCGTGATACTCGATTTCCGCAGTACTTCGTATAAGGTAGCCTGTGTRTAAGGTAAATTGGGGTAATCGTCGAGCACCGGTGATTTATATTGACCCACTACCGAATCGATCTCGTCTTGCACCTTGGTCATCACATCCGGATAATGGAGCATGTACACCATGGCCCATAAAATCGTATTCTTGATGGTCTCCATGCCGGCCGAGAACAAGTCGCCGAGAATTTGTTGTACCTGCCTGTTGGGGTCCAAACCCTGAAACAGTTGATCCACCGTGCCGGCTTCCTGGGAGCGATTTATCTCCAACAGATAGGCGTCGACCAGGTCTCGAATGCAATTCGGATCGAACGTGCTCTTGTGCTCCTCGATGATATTTTGAAAGTACCCGGCGATCTCGCGATGGTTGTTCTTGATTTTTTCCTGTATGCTCCGTTCGTCAGTAATGTGACGTCTCGGCAAAAACAAACTCACCGGCCTCAACATGCCGAAAAGCTTGAAACCTTCTTCGACCATGTGCATGTACCGCTCGAAACGCGGGTCGTTCGGTTCGAATCGAACACTCATCGTCAACGAACTAATCACGTTGGTGATGGCAAGGCACAACGAACCGGCATTTAGATCTATTGGTTTGGCGCAAGTGTTGTGAAACATTTCCATTAGCGTGGATACTTCGATCTGCATGAAAAAAAAAAAAAATACCCGAAAATTAGAGTTAAATCATTTATTATTATTGTTTTTTTATCTCGACTATATTATGTGATGTAAAACATTATATTATAATATATTTTTGAAAAATATTGGTCGTCGTGTTCGATATCGGCTATTTCGAGTTATATAAAATATACCTAATATTACGTGCGTCATCGACAATACGCGACGTTACTCACCATTATTCGATTTTCCATGTTCAACCTGTTGTGGCCCGTGAACGTCATCCCCATATTTCGAAGTACCAAGTGCAAAAACTTCCTTTGCGACTCCCATAACTTCCCAGTGCTGTTTACGGCTCCTATAAACACGCACAAAAAAAAAAAAAGGTAACGTTTACATATATAATAACAAGTCTGGTCAGTATGGAAATGACACACAGAGATTTTGTATTATTATTATTCTAGCCATTATTCGCGTGTCCCGAACACGTTGTGTAATGCAGTAGTAGTAGAAGTAGTAGTAGTCGACGTAGCTGTAGCAGTGGCAGTATAATAATATAGTTGTAATAGTTGCAGTATAGTAGTGGCAGTAGCAACGGTACGAGCCACGTGATTATTTAATAATAATTAATATTGTGCCGGCGTATAATAGTATGTCAAAAAAAAAAAAAAAAATTGCGACATAGTTTCAAAATATTATATTCAACGTACATGATAATATCTCGTCATCTCGAGGACACGCGAGCGCGCGTATATTTTATTTGAATGAAAAAAAAAAAACAAAAAAAAACTTTACAGAAAAAAATTTAATAACTTATAGGTGGTCGTGGTGCACAACACGTATAATGTTAATAATACGCTTTTAAGATGTCAATTTTTACGATGTGGCGATGACGAGAGAAAAAAAACCCCATGGTCAACGTAAAATCACTGACAATCTCAAACCTCTGATATAATAATATTATATTTTATATCGTATCATAACAAAATAATACCGCGGGGGAAAAAAAACGCCCGTCGATTTCTCATAATATAAGTTACATAAAACGTTTGATAATAATATTATAAATTATATTATATTCATCGCGCGCGTCAATAACATATATTATAAATATTATAAACGACTTACCGTATCCGCCGATGATGTCCATGTACCCGTCGTTGGGACGGCCGGTGATCTGCTTCATGTCGAACGCGGTCTTGATGAGCTTGTGGTCGCTGAGCAGTACGACCGTGTTGCCGCGTTGCGTGAACGAGCATATGGGCCCGTACCGGCGGGCCAGCTCGTTGTACTTGAGGTACGTGCAGTGGTTGGACAAGAACGGCGCGTACCCCAAGAACGGTACGCCCCACGGCCCGGGCGGCAGCGTCCTGGCGGCCCGGAGCTGCCGGTACGCCGAGTAGGTCAAACCCAGCGCCGCGGCCACCGCGTTCAGCCACAGTTCGCGGCTGTATCCATCGCTGTCCGACATGATCTCGGTCGTCATCTTACCACGCCGCCTCCACTGCGCGGAGATCCGATGTAATTACCCGACGCGAACGGGCGAATATGTATTTTTGGGCGACGTTTGTGACGGACGGTAAAAATATGTATCGTATTTTAATTAATTTTTTTTTTTCATATATATACCGACGAATAATACACACCCGAACGGTACGCAAAACAGATAATATAATAAAATATATTATATATTATTATAACAATTATAATTAGGAAAAATAATATAATATGTGTGTGTGTGTGTGTGCGCGCGTGTGTGATATAGCTGAATAGCTGCAGCGCGTATAAGTGTAATATACTCTTCAGCCAGTGTTTACGCAAGAGACGGTGTGTGGCGTCGGAATCGAAGAGTTGGGATCACTTTTGAAAATAATCGTGGGAGAGTACTTCTTTTGGTCTTTTATAATATATCGGGGTGTCGAAAGCCCATATAGTAGGGATAGGCGTGTTCGTGCGTGTGTGCGTGTGTGCGTGCGTGCGTGTGCGCCAGGTAGGTACCTCGTCTAATACATATTGTATTATATATACGCGGGTACAACAGGTGTAGGTATATACATATACGTAAATACGCGCGCGCGTGTGTGTATACGTATGTACAGCACGTGTGCGCGCATGTGTATGCGCGCGTGCGTGTGTGTGTTTTTTCTTTCTTTTTAAAACGTTTTGTTGTTGTTTTCTCTCTCTCTGACCAGCGCGCGCGGACCGTCCGCGTTACACACGTATGCATCGTTGTAGGGGGATAGGTACCCGCGACGCGCGATCCGGGGCGGCGGCGGAGGAGGAGCGCGAGAGCGTTCGAGATTTCCTTCCCTTTTTTTTTTTTTTCCCCATTTCTTGTATCTCACTTTTTTCTCTCCGCCACGCGCGACGGGCATACACGGCGCGTATACACCTACCTATAGCCGCACATCAGCTATACACTGCACCTAAATATACGTTATTCTTCTCGCTTCGTCTCACTCTCTCCTGCACCGCTGCTCACATCCGAATCGGTCCCTACTCCCGGCGGCGACGACTGCCCAAACGGCGAGTTTCGTCGGGTCCCGAGCAGACAGACGCGGCCGAGCATTGGGCCGGCGCACACCGCGACCACCGATCATCGTTATTATTTCACACATGTATTATACATATACACGCACACCTGTAGATCCTCCCAACGGCGAGCCGCGCCGCGCCCACAACACATGTTTCGAACGAACGTTATTTTTGATTTTTTTTTTTTTAGATTTTCCTCAATATTTCACGCGGTACACAATAATATTGTAAATATAATATAAATATAAAAAATATAATATTATAACAACGTATATTTTGTGGTTGTATATGTCGCGTGTGTGCGTGTGTTTTATTCTTTCTAATTTCGATTTTTCGACGTATTCCCGAGGGTTCTGAAAATGATGTTCCAAGTCGTTTAAATAGTTTAAACCAAACATAGGGATATATAATAATAATAAATAACCAGAACATAGGACACCAGAATCGGCAAGTTGAGACTGGGAACTTTCGCTTTAGACATTTATATAATGTATATTAACGGTCATTTTCACAAAACGAGTCTATTATATTGTTTTGTTTGTGTTTTTTTTTTTTTTATATAGATACGTACATAATATATGGGCAAACAAACATTTCTGTCCGTAGAACTTTCGTATATTAGATAGGTACAAATAGTAATAAGCCTACACGTCTCCGTGCTCAGTTTGTTGTGTAGTTCAGTGTATATTTATCGAATAAGTACATTTTTTAATATTTGTCGAGTATTAAGTTTATAGATTTTATAGAGTTTATAGAAGAAAGAAATAATACTATTGATCATTTGGATTGGCTTATAAATTGTTGTTTAAAAGATTTATACTAACTATTATTGATCGATAGTGCACTTTCAATTTAATAGGGATATATCACTAAAATCATAGATATTATTTCATTATTAAAAATAAAAATAAATATAGTTGGTCAAGTTAATAAATACTATACAAAAATTTTAATAAGCGAATTTAGAAAAACAAACTAGTTTATAAGTATTTACCAATCGATTTTTAATAATTTGTTTTGTAAATATTGATAATTAATGAAATAACGGACATGCGCTAATATTATTGTAATCTCTATTATATTACTGTGACTAATCTGTCAGAGAAATTATTTAGTATCTTAATTGGTTCTTWGGACATTTTTATTTCATTTGTTTGCATTATACAATCAAAAATGGACTATATTCCTACAGTGTTAGCTGATAAGGTAATAGCGTATTTACACATCAATAATAAATATATATTATAGTTAATAATATTAAAATACACAGCATTGGCTCAGGCATAATAATTATGAATATATACATATATTATATGTATAGATAGATTGATACTAATTCTACAGGACGTAGAAATACTATTTTATCAGTGGCCAATAATGGGTGCAAACGTACAATTATTTTTAAATAATATTTTTTTTTCTACAGATTTTTTAATGGGAGTGATGAACCGTTCAACATGCGTTGAACTTTGAAACATATTTTTATGAAAATTCATGGGCTCTACAGACAATGGATTGGTATGAATCTAACTTAGATGCATACAATTTTCTTATAAAAACTGTTATACTCTGTGTACTTTGCAGAACAACAGGTTTACTTTTGAAACCTTTAATTAAAAAACAAATTACCCATAAGCTAACCACGACTCAAAAATCTCAAAAGTAATGAATATGAATTATGATTTTACRATATCCTGAAAATAAATGAGAAACATATGAGTATACAATGATCTCGCGCATTTCGAATCATATTTTATTTGTATTCGTATATAGAAGGTAATTCGTGATATATTGACACTATATGTTCTAACAGCGTTTAACTATATTTTTGAGCGTCTATCTTAWACAACTTTTTTGGTAGATAAATAAGTGCATTTCGCCAACTTCCAAAATACATATTTTACATTATTTTTTTGGAGTTTCATTAGTCTGAATTTTTACGTTTTTTTACATTATCATTCTGAAAACATTTTTTTATTACACAGGCTATAGTATGTTATGAAGTGGTAGATATACGATATACTTTTATCGCTTTATCATATAYTTTTGTATGACAAAAATAAGCCAAAATATCACCCTTAATCCCTCCTCCCGTGAGCACGCCACTGACAACCCCAATCAGAATTTTTTCCCTCATGTTTTCTTTAAATGAACTGAAAACTGTTGTGTGATCAGTGAAATAAATAAATATATCAATGACTTAAGACATATCTGCAAAGAGTTGTAAAGAGTTAGACAGTTGTATACAATGTTTCTAAAAATAAAAGTAATATTAAATAAGAAATACTATTACAATAGAAGAACATTACTATTTCTTAGTTTCTTACTGAATCAAATGTTTTTACAAGTATAATATTTATTGCAATGCATAACTTATAGTAATAAATAATACTATAAAAAATAAGTAGGTACCTACCTAATATAAAAATTAATTTACAATTTATAACCTGCAGTCCTCTAATAATCATTAACTCGTAATTTATCCTCCATTAAGTCGTAAACTATTAAAAAAATAAATACTATTTGTAATATTTTTATCCTACATATTTAATATAAAGTTGTATTGCTATATTTTTCAAAAATAAATACTTTTGGATCTGATWTAGTAATATGTACTATAATCAATAGGTACTCATAATATATCACTTTAACACTCATAACATGACATAAAATATAGTAGGCATAGGGAACCATATATGGCAACTATTAATATAGTTGTAATATGTTTATATTATATTGTATAATATTTTAATGTATATAATTATAAGTTATAGAGTAGCTGTTAATTGACAAGTGTCTGTCACATAGTTTTAAAATACACCGTAGTAATTAACAATACATTTGTCCGCATCAACATTGTACGTGTATTGTCTTGAACATAACACGATAATCAACGACGGCTTTTACTATAGGTAATTACTACCAATACTTAAAAAAAACCTCAAAAATCACGTTACTCAACATAATTTTATGATCTTCAATATTTGAATAGTTATTGTATACAACCTTCGATAGAGTAATATCTCCAACATTTTAAGGTACTATTCTTAAACAAAGTTTTTACTGTAAGATAGGTWAAGATAATGTATCTATTATATAATATGATCATTTATTTTATATCAAAATCTAATAAAGTGTATTACAAGATTAATACTTAGACAAAATTACAATTTTACGTTTAATTGATATTTAATAATATAGGTTATAACCCAACCTCTGGTATACCTACATAAATTCACTCTAATCTAATMTAATAATATCTGTTTACTCATTATAAGTATTTATGTCCTATATATTTAAATATTAAATAGTAAAACTATTGAATGCATTACGCATGTATACTTGCGCATACTATTGCATTCCATCATTACAGCTACGTTTAGTATATATAATTTGTGTAGGTATTCAACTTTTTTTTTATTCATTAAAAACAGATATTATTATTAAGATTCAATGAAAGTGTTTGATAAAATCAGAACTAATTAAATTATGTGTTTGTATAAACAGTAAATTGAAATCATGATAATAAGTAGAATTCCTAACTTCAATTTTGGGTTAGAAAATTCTTATTTAATAACTATTTTATTGTTTTTAAATAAAGCAAAATCTACGGCGTCAAAGGGCATTGGACGATACAATTGAACTTGTAAATATTTATAAATATTGAAGTTTRCATTCGGCTTAATTTGTTATTGTAGGTTTATTCCCAATTTATACAACATCATATTAAATTATTTAAAAATTTGTATTTTGTATTTTCTTGGAAATGTTCGATCTTCATAAAAATTCTAAAGTTGTTAGAKTCTGAGTTGAGAGATTCTGATGTATATGATATCTGCACAGGGCATACTCTAATAACTGTTATAATATTATTGTAATATATTTTATTTTAAATGTCATTACTAGAAAATATTGAAAAATGTACATAGAATATTAATCACCATAGTACCTATTTTAAAATTGAACTTTAGTAACAAACATACATTATACATTTACGTCATTGAAAAATCTTCAAGTATCAATATTTGTAATTATAATTACTAAATTRAGAGAAAAAAGTGATTATAAAACCATAGTGATCAATGTTAGGTCGTGTTATAACACTAAATAATCAGCTTAATATAATTTATGTTTGAAGTACCTGAACCTAGAAATCGTTTTGTTTTTTTATAATTACTAAAATAATAAATTTAATTTTCTTTCAAAATATTTACGAATAACTAACGTTTGACGTTAACATAATAATCTCTGGATTAAATGTTATAAAAATATATAAAAAAATAATAAATTGCRTTCGTCTATGCATGACTATTTTTATTCGTATTCAAAG